CCTTTAAAAGAAAAGGCGACGACGTATTTGGACAAAGACATGGCTGAGCAAACGTGGCTACTACGATCTGCCAATTTTACAGAAAGAACTCTATTTCACTCACAGCACCCCCGCCATGCTTCTGGGTTTTCATCTGAGAGGAAGAAGAAGAATCCTTGTTTGCGCACTGAGCGATTTGCCAATAATGGTCAACTGAATTTCAAACATGTTTAATTTTCTCCCGACCACGATTTGAAAATAATTTTATATAATATTTATAATGTTTTATGTTGAATGTGAGGTGTTCATGGACTTTATGTATGTGAACAAATGTGAAACATACTGAAGAAAAAAAAAAAAGTTTCTAAACAGAAGGTTACAAAAAATAAAAACTAGGGCAGATTGTTGGGAGCCAGTCTGTTTAAAGGCCCATTTGGACCCATGTGACCCGTCTTATCACTTTAAAACCCTCTTAGTCACTACAAAAGTATTCCCTGCCTCTTTTGTATTTGTGTAATAAATGAAACAGAAAAACAAGTAAACCTTCCTTCATCTCTCTACCCCTTTTTGTTGTTGAAGCTGTCACGCCAAAACCCCAGAATGCAATGCAGTATGAAATTTGTGGGATTATAATTTCTCCGAAACCAGAATTTAGGAGTCTCATAAATGAAGCCTTTTAAAGCATGAATATTTGGAAACTAAGTTTTAAATTCTAATCGGGGTTTATACAGGAATAAATAACTCGAATTTGGTGCTCTTAGAAGTTATTTTAATGCCATAAACACGTACCCATGACTCATATTTTATTTATTTATGTATTTTATGTAATTTATAATTTATATATATATATATAAATAAACAAATTCCTTTGTCATCTTCACCGTTGACAGGCTGCAGCCATGTCCCAAATTCCTCGTTTTCCAGCCACTTTTATTGAAATTGGAATTTTCCCCATTCTCTAGCTTTTTCTCCACCTCGAGCTTCTTTTCCGAACATACGGCTTTACGATCAACCGGAAGCGGTTCCGCGTAAACACACGGAAACAGTTATATCTGATATATCTGAAGAAATTGTTTTTATAAATGTTTTTTTTTTTATATAAATTCCACCATAATCACATTTAATTAATTGTGATGCCAATTAAGGCCTTAATTTAAAAAGTAATAATTTAATGACTTTATGATTTTTAATGACCCGCAGAAACACTGCTAATATTTTAGGTTTTTACCTTTTAGTTTAAAAAGCTTTTAAGACCTTTTAAAATAAACCACTGAGATTTTTCTCCCTCAGATGCTAACTAGTTTCTGCTTTAATTACTACTGTGGTTTTATTTGAAGGCTAAAGTAGTTTCCCCTCTAGTAGTTGTTTAGGCTTTTAGTTCTTAATGGTAAACATGCTTGAACTGAACCTTCACAGCAACGATAATCTTGATAAACAATTTTTAGACAAATAAACAAATCCAAGGGGCAGTCTCACCATCTGAGGGTCGTTGGAGCGACTGACCCAGCCTGAAATCAGTTTGAGCGTCTCCCTCTTGACCGTCCTCATACTCCTAATCAAAGGCTGCTTCGTCACCATCTCACCTACAGACATAAATAAACAGATGGTTTGTTCTAATGGCCTCTGGGATTTGTTCTGTCTGATAATGTAGAAGAGTGGAAAGCAGCTGACCGTTTGTCTGGACAGCAGAGGAAATGTTTTCGCTCAGGCATTTGTAGACGTTGAGCATATCCAGGTAGATTCGACCCAGTTGGACGACAAAAGGATGACCCACGGCTTTACAGGCTCTGACGTTGGTCTTCAAGATGCTGCCGAGCTGGCGGACCGTCTCGGCGTCCTTCAGGATGTCCACATTCTGCAGCACATGGTCCAAACCTCAGAATCAGTACCGTTACAGTAGTACCTATGGAGCTTCATAAAACTCTTCTGCTGAGGCCCTGACCTTGGTGGCTTGCTGGATTATGCTGTCCCAGACCTGGTTAGGAAGCAGCATGTACTTCTCTATGAGGAGCTCCAGGACCGCCTGGTCCGTCTGCGCTCCGATCATGTAACCCACCGCCTCATAGAACGTATGGACCTGCAGAGTTGCAGTCAGACACCTGAGCTTGTTTCTCAGAAAGTGGGCAGATATAAAAGCGCCGATAATTCAACTGACCTGCTGAGGCTGCAGGTCACAGATGATGGTGTTGATGTTGTTGAGGATCTCATCAATGAAGGGCATCACCTCGCCCACCTGAACCTGGACAAAATGACGCCGGCACTTCTGAGCGATCTTGATGAACGTGTCACAGGCCATATCCTGCACACCATCGTGGGTCTCTGCAGAGGAAACGTCCCGCAGGCAGAAGTCAGTACCTCGAAAGATTTATTCCGCTTTTAAACGGAAAACTTTCTCACTCGTCCTCACCGTGCATGAACTCAAACAGCTTGTTGACGACGGTCTTGAGGAACTTCCAATGAGCTCGCAGGAAGCGAGGATACTGACCCACGATGTACATGATGTTGGACGCTATGATGGCCTTGTTATCCTTCCCTCTCTTCTGCTCACATAAGCCAAGCAGGTCCTGAACAAATCCCACCAAGTTAACAAGCTTCTCGAAGCAAGACGAGCAGCTAGCTACCAAATAAACAGCTCCTACTGTTTGCCCACCTTGATCACTGTAACCAGAAACCTTTTCTCATCCTCCTCATGCATCGCCCCGCTTATAGACCCGATGGCCCAGCAGAGCATGTTCAAATTCCTCCATGACCACTCGGTGCCGTTCACCTGGTTGTGGAGCTTCTCCGTCATGATTCGCTCAGTGTCTGCATAGTCCAGATGTGTCAGATATACTGCAGGATTCAAAGAGAGAGACGGGGAATAATGAATTCAGGCTGTAACAGCATTGATGAAGATATCTGAATCCAACCACATGTTTTATTGCAAATATTTAGAATTATTTTTTTTTTATTTCCTAAACGAGGAACAATACCAAATGCTAAACTAGGGATGGGAATCAAAAACCGGTTCCTGTTCAGAACCGGTTCCATGTGTCCTATTTCATGGCACCATTTGGCAGCTCGCTTAACGATTCTCTTAACGGTTCCAGGCAGCATGATTTACGTCACGTTTTTTTTACGAAAGTCATGCACACGGCATTCAGTAAGCAAGTACGAGGTGACCAGGCGCAAGTCTAGAAAAACAAAACAAAAGCGGTCAAAGCGATCAAAAGATTGGCTTCATTTTAAGGAAGCGAAAGATGGCAAACAAGCCACTTTGCAATCATTGCAAAGTGGCAATTGCATCCGCAGGAGGAAATGCATCCAACATGCAGAAACACCTGCACACACAACATGGCATACATTTTAACGGATGCCGTGTTTTTTTTGTACGTCTTCCGGACAGAAGCTAAAGTTACGACCAGACTGGAAGGCAACTCTGGTGGTAAGTAGCTAGTTTTATATCACTGGCTGAGCTTAATGTGGTTCCTAGTAAATCATATGCCATTTCTGGAAATAAACCAATTTCCTACCTCTCTTTCTTTTAAGGGAGTGTGCCTTTCTCGTTAGTCCAGCCCTTCATTGCTAGCATGTTTACTAAGAACTACTAGTAGCTGGAATTCTTACATGTTTCTAGCTATTGCATGGATGTAACGAAACACGCTACGAAGTTGCCCTGCAGTTCAGGGAGCGAGACGCTCGTTTATTTAAATCAGGGGGAGATGAGTTTATTTCCTGAAATTGTACCGTAATGCTTTTACATTAAATGGAATCGATAAGGAATCGAATCAATTCCCAACCCTATGCTAAACATTCAGTTACAATAATACTGATATAGTTCTGTCAACCATGAGGGAAGGGTAACTACTGTTGGTTGTTAGTCAGGTTAATATAAAACTGATGCCCATTTTGACCAAAATAATCCAAGTATTGACTCACCCAGAGTTTCTCTCATATTCTTATACAGATTGATGGCATCCGTGTCCTTCATGAACTCTCTGACCACCTCACCCTGGTCGTTCTCCACCACCAACACCTCCTCTGGTTTGGCCATGCGGCTCACCATCAGCAAACGCACCTGCAAAAGGAAAACCATCGACGTAAGCAACGCGTGAGCGACCCCTTCTGCAGCCAATCAGTTCCATGAACCCCATCAAACACGACAACTTGTTTGACATGTAGCATCACCTGAGAAAGCACGGGCAGGTAGAGATGTCTTCGAGGTGGAACATCAGACAGCAGAGGGGTACTTGATGTGGAGAAGGGGCTCTCTCTGTACAACTCTGCAGCCAAGTGGTTCCAGTACTCCAGACAGATCTTGAAGATCTCCGTCTCCTCGACCTCCGAAACCAACAGCATGTAGTGAAGAGCCTGGAAATCAGAACGAGATGAAAACAAATGAATAAAACGAGTACAAAGAAAACTCTTCTGGGCTGATATATCAGAACGGATCTCCTCATACAGGTGAAATTAGCCGGTAACACAGCAGCTTCGATCCAACCAAAAGGTCAGAAAACTTTCCAGAGATTTCAAACTTTTCAATCTGAACGCTGGTATGCAAACACAAGTATTCAGAACAAAAAATAATTAGGTTGACAAAACGTTATAGATGACCTTGAGGCTTCTCCTGCCGCACTCCTCCCGACTCAGGTTTATTTTTGTGCACAGACTGATCCACAGGGCCTTTAAGTTCATGCTGCGACAATCAGAACCCATTAACAATAATGAATATCCCTACACTCCCTTCAACAATCTGATGGTTTGGTACCAATTGTCAACAATTTCTCTTAAAGGAAAAGTCCGGTCATATTCAGGAATCAAACTTCTGAAAGTTCTTTAAAAATGAAATTATTACATAATGTTCAATAATTTATAAATGTTTTTAATTAAGAGTAATTTTATTTGAATGTGTTTTACTGGAGGTATCCGTGTTTGTCAAAGAACACTACTGCCACCTACTGGTTTGTGACGTTACGGTGCGGTATCGGCTGTTGATCAAGTCCCAGTGCTGTATCTGGTGTTTGTCACAACGCGCTATTATCCAAGTCATCTTGAAACATTCTTCTTCCAAATGTTGGCTACATATGACGAGTTTTTTCTCTGGCCAGAAGTTCGATGGCAAATCCTCCCTCTTCAAGTTGGCGATCCAACGACCAACCCGTCCGTGGAGGATCAGGAATCAGAAAGGTGGAATAACTTTTTTTTTTTCCCCCACTTTTACCCGATGTATTCTTTGGAGCCCCTAAAGGGACATGGAGGGAAAAAAGAAACTTTAGCGAGATTCCGCCATAGTTTTGCGAGATCTTGCAAAGTTTATTTTTTCCTCCATGTCCGTAGGATTGCATGCTGACATTGTTTCTCTTCATTCGTGTAATGTCGTCTTTTGGGACTTGTATTATCCTCCCATAGCAGTACACTTTGCGCCTCCACTGTTGTGTGTCTGTTTTACTTCCGGTTCGCTGACATGGGAAAACCTTCTGCGACATTTTACAAAACGTTTAGCAAGATCTCGCAAAAGTATTGCGGGATCTCTCAAAAGTTTATTTTTTCTTCCATGAGCCTTGCTCCGTAGTATTCCAACATCCAGCTGCCATGCACGTGGGCATTGTCAGTTTCACTATAGCTCTGGTGAATTTCAATGGTGAAGTCCTCTGGAAATCTTCAATAATTGTTGTTGATTGCAGATGTGTCTAGTAGTTCCCATTGATTTAGCTTGTAAAGCGGGGAGAATGGCGCTAGGCTTACCGCACCGTGACGTCACTGCTGGAAGATGGCAGGAGGGAGGGGTTACTGTGTTTGATTCTGGGAGCGGCCATTTTTCCCCAGTGTTCACGATGAAATTTATTGTTTTTATTTTTTTTACTGATTAACGCTAAATTCATTAAATCACCTGAAACTTATTAGTTTTAGGTATAAATAATGATCTATTGATTATTCCTTGCTGGCTGGACTTTTCCTTCAAACAGGCAGAATACAAACCAATGCAAAGTAAAAACAACTTTTGGGGTTTGGCGTTCTGACCTCCATGAGCGTCTCACGCAGGTTGGGTCTTTTCTCCACCAGCTGCCCGTGTTCTTTGAGGAAGGTGCAGAGGAACAGACTCAGATTCTGGATAAAGTTCTGCTCGTCATCTTTCCCGTTGGCGTATGCCATTTTGATGTTTGTGTTCAGCGGCAGCATCTGATCAAACAAAAGCAAATATTTTCACTTTATTGACATGGGAATGGTCAGTAAGGTGTAATCGTGCTGTAAAATGCTGGTTTGGAGCGAAGCTTTTCTTACTGTTACTACAGACCTGTTTGAGCTGAGACATGGTGGAGGTGAACAGGTTGATGAACGGCTCCTCGTACTGGTTGACACTCACTCCGGCAATCTCAGTCAAACATTTCAGAGTCACGTTTCGAAACATGGGAACGTTGAGAAACTGAAGAAGGAAAGTAGAAAACTCTGGGATTAATAATGACTGGTTGGTATTGCTTCTATAAAGTAACGTCATTATCCAGAACTTTTTCAGTTCCTTAAAAACTTCAGTTTGGGTTTTTTGGGCGAGCAACATTTGTCTTTTTTATTATAATCCACATACAGTGGAATCCGCTTATAGCGATCACGGATATAATGATCAATCGCTTATATAGATTAAAAGACTTAGGACAGAATCATTTCTATGCAAATGCTGTTTATAGTCATCAAGAAATCCATTTATAGTGTTCATCTTTGGCCATTTTATGAATGTAGAAATGTGTAAAAATAATTATGAATGTATACTTGTACAAAAATAATTTTAAAAGTATGTGTAGATCCATTCCTACTGGTTAAAGGTAGCCAAAGAGATAAGAGTAATTTTTGGTTTTGAAATTGAGCACAATTTCAAAGTTATATATCAAGGTAATTTACCAACTGAACTCAACACCCAAGATAAGTGATTTCTATAAATACTGCTGGTAGCAGGAAAGAAATCAATAACAAGAAAGTGGCTTAGCGCAGCCCACCGACTTTGTGTGACTGGTCAGACGGTAGAAGAAATATGTGAAATGGAAATGCTTACATTCTCCATAAGACTCCAGGAAAACAAATTCCATAAATATTGGTTGAAATGGCTAAGTTATAGGAATTCTAAAGTAAGTTGAGGATTAACTCATCATTCAGGGTGATAATAGAGGTCTGGTGCTGTACTGTCTGGCAGGACATGGTAATTCTGCACAGGAACTCTAACCTGTTTACCTCTTTAAGGCTCTCTACATACTCTGTAACCTATACACCTAAAAATAGTTCATAATAAAAATTTTTCCCGTGTTGTATTTTCGTACCCCTCCCTTGGTGTACTCTCTATTTTCATTGCTTTTCACTGTGTTCGTTGCAATTGCCTCTTTTTTGTGTTGGGTGTTGTATTCTGGAAAATCTTATAAAAAAAAAAGTACAAAAAAAAAAAGTATGTGTAGCCTAGTTATTTTTATTTTTTTTTTTTACTTCCCTGATTCCTTTCTGGGCGTCTACTTCTGCCTAGCTAGCTCGGAGATACAAGAGCGCTTTGGTGCAGGTACCAGTGCTGCGCATAGCGAGGGGGAGGATGAGGATGAAGAAGATGAGACTGCTGTCTCTTCCAGAGCTGAGATGAGGAATGCAGTTTGCATTTTAAAGACTGGTCTCCTGCATGTTGGTTTCAACAACTTTGACCTTTAATATCGTTTTGAAAAAGAAGTGAAGTCTGTGTTGGACAACACTCTGATCCAAGGAACCATGGATCAACATGTGAAGTGATTATTTAATGCGGCGCAACAGATCCATAACACATAACAGAGGTTTTGTGTTGTAAAAACCTCTAATTTTCTGTAGCCTACGCAGTTATCTGCTATGTTGTTTTTCTATGAAACCGTTTCAAACTTTATTTTCAGACATGTTAAAAAAAATGCACCGGCGGCACAGCGGAGTACCATGCAACTGTAAACTTGCATAGTACTGCAATAAAATTCAGTAAATGCGGAAGCTATCCATTTCATTTTTCTCATTGAAAAAAACATAAAAATGACATTTAGATGATATTCTGCATAAAAAAATAAGTGAAATAACGTTAAATTTGGTTTTAATAATCAACCGCTTAGTGTTCAAAATGGCTCTGGAACAACGTGATACTATAAGAGGATTCCACTGTAATAAATTAGAAGAAGCTGCTGATTCATGCTGCCTGGTTTTACCTTGAAGACCAGTGTGCTGATGAGTTTCGTCTCAAAGATGTATCCTAAAGGAATCCAGTTCAGAAAACGAAGCAGAGTCTCCAGGGTGGCGTGGACCAGTGGTGCATTTTGGGAGTTTTCCTACACAAAAAAATCAAACAACATAAGAGCGTTTAGAGGTGATAGTTAACAAAAAAAACCCTGAGAGATCTCCACTCTTTGGACGACCTTACCATCACAAACTGACACAGCTGGAATATCTGAGAGAACTCGTTGCACATGCTAAAAAAAATAAAAACAATACAGAAAAAGACCTTTTAATGTTTCAGGATAAATTAAAACAACCTCTGTTATTCACAGACATCCTTGGGAGCTGATCCCGCTACCCGGACTAAGTAATTTAACTTATTTTATTACATTACAAGAGCAAAAAAAAAAAAAACTTGTTTACGGCTATATGATCTTGAATCAAATTCAACCAGCTTAGCTAAGAATTTAACAAAAATATTAACAAGCAGGGGGAAATTGTTTCTGCTTATGTACATTTTAGAGACGTGGCGATGAGGTTTAGATAAAAAGAGAAACACTCGACATGCCGAGCAGCAGAGGTACCAAAGATAAAGCCATAGTTATTAAATAAAATGCAGAAGTAAAATGTTTTAAGATGTAGTGACATTATGATCAGCTGTGATAAAAACATCAACATAGATGAGTTTGAAATCAATAACCTGTCTTTCAGGTGTTTGGCTTTGACTTGCGTCATCTGGCCACTGGAGAAGTCAAACACTTCTTCGCTGAGGAGCTTCAGGATGATCATGTTGTTCTGACAGAGGCTTTCGCTGGTCCGACTGGCACCCACGATATCGCTGATGAAAGTGGGCCAGTGTTTGGGCCATTCTTGTTTCAAGATCTAAGATGATCCCAAAAAAGAAAAAAAATAATAATTAGGGGAAACAAAAAAATTGTCATAAAAAACCCAAGAATATAAATTATTTTGTCTCTCTACCGACGGAAATCAAATGATCACCTGTACGAGGATCATGTTGAGCTTTGAAATGTACACCCCTTCCTTCTGCAAAACAAATTTCATAAATACTGAAAGACCGACACGTGGTTAGTGAAGACTAAGATTTTTACAATGTAAACAACTTTACCTCCATGTTTGCAGGATCAGAGGAAGTCTTGATAATCAAGCCGACGACATACTTCTTGATTCCTGAAAAAGACGCAATTAGAAGAAGTATAGCAGGAAAGCAGCACTGCAGAGAAAACACAGATCTGCTTTGGAGAAAATCATGAATGGAAACCACAGGCTATAAGAACAAGTTGGTTATGATGCCTAAAACCTTTTTTTTTATGTCAGAAGGATTTACCTTCACATTGATGTCTTGGGAGAATCTTCCAACGTGTTTTGATGACGGCCTCCAGAATTTGGAGCGCATAATACTAAAAGGAAATAAAAGAGAATTTAAATTAAATCATTTGAAGCAAATGAATCACTGCAGTTTGGTCGAAAACCACAAACTCAACTGGATTACATAAAAGAATTAAAAAGAAAACACAAATCAAACAAAAAAAAGCTTGATTAGTGAGTAAAATCTTTACATAAGCTCCACCTTTATTTCTAATTAACTGTAAAAATAGTTTATCTTTAGTCAAATGCCAAAAACTTAAGTATTTGAGTGGCCAAATGCAAAAGAGACAAATAAAAATGGCCACCATTAAATCCTGATATAGGCAAACACAAAGCACTAAAACTTCAAGTGGTGCAAACAATACTCCAAAAATAACCTTCCATTTTTAAATGAAAAAGTTAAAATACAAATAAAACTTTATTGATCTCACAATAGAGAAATTAACTCTGCAATTAAGCCAACCCCTCTGGGGCGCAGTGGGCTGCCACTGTGCAGCGTCCAAAGAGCAATCGGGGGGTAAGGGTCTTGCTCAGAGAGCCAGGCTGTGGGGTTTCGAACTCACAAGCTCAGGATTCCAAGCCCTACACCCTAACCACTAGGCTGCCACTCCCCCTATGTAATTTTCACATTCAATGTGAAGAATTGATGATCACACATTATGAATATCGACACATATCTAGTTCATACTTTGGTTTTCATATTCTGAGAGAATTCCAGAATGGTGTCAACCCTCGTCCAGGCATCAGGATGGTCCTTCAGGTTTGTTAGCACTTCTTGAGCCACTCGTTGCTACAAAAGGAAACATGAAAAGCACTTTAACACAGAACATCAATAGATCTCTACTACTCTCTCAATCACCCTAACAGTCCCCCCCCCAAAAGTCAAATTAGATTATTTCTTCAATATAGAAATAGGCAAAAGGTTCAGAACTAGAAGCTAGCGATGCTCAGAAAATGTAAGTTCATCAATGAACAATAAGGTAAGGAACAGAGGATGGACACAAGACAATTAAAAAAACAAAAGGAAAAGAACAAACATACAATGAAGGAAAGGAGGGGGTATGAGAAGGAGAATAGAAATGTCCTAGATCTAAAAAAAAGCTGCATGCTTTTCCAGCCTGCAGAGGAACCCAGCTGTAGCAGACTGAAACAGGCCCTCACCTGGGTACCGATGTCATGGTACATGGAGTTGACAACAGTGTCTAACAGATTGATGTCAAGTTTCTGATTGAAGTCCAGCAACTGCCTGGCTGGATGATCGGCCAACATTGTCATTTCTGCTGGCATAGAGCTTCCTGTAAAGATGAGAGGCATCATTTTTCACTTTAAAAATTCCTAAGATCCTCAATATCACTTTATTTAAGACAAATGCAATTGAAAATTTTTAAAAGTCCCATATAAAGCTTAAATGGGACAGACCTCGGTTAAATCAGCCACTTTTCAACTAAAGTGACAGCTAGTAAAAATAGAATAGAAGGTTTAATGGGAAACTACGCCCCCTGCTGGGTAGACTGGGAACATCGAAAAGAATTTAAACCAAATTCAGTGTTTAATACAATACAAAAATATTATAGGCTGAAAACATTGCTTATATTTTAGTTATGTTTCTATTGTATTTCCTATTATTATGATACAACATTAAATAGGCTTTAAAGTTTTATTCTGAAACTCGCGGAAGCTAATCGTAGCGCATGCGAAGTCAACCATTCAACTTAACAATGCTCGGGATTTACTCACCTGGTTTGTTCTGTCCACTTGTCGTAAAACTAGTGTTGTGTTAATTGTCCCGTAGCTGGACGCCGAAATGCTCTGAGCCTCAGTGCGTGAAGGCAGTATGAAGCGTTATCTCATTGCAAACACTGATGCTACACTTCAGCTAGCACTCACAGGCTAAATGCTAATGTTAGCTTCCGGAGATGACACAAAGCAACCAACGCCAAGTTAAAATAGCTTTACGCAGTCTACTTCGACTTACTTTAAAACTAGAAATGTCGGATAATCCTTCTTTTCTCCAATCACTATGAAAATTGTGCCTATTTTCAGCTATCAGTTACTAAACCCGACTGATAATAGAAAAGTCATTGATGATTAAGGACTACAGGCTAAATCCTTCAGCTAAGCTAACAGCAACAAATTCACGGAGTCAAAGATGGAACGATATTCCGAGTCATAATCACGAATTGAAATAGTCTAGTTTTATTTCTGATCCTGTTTGCACATTGTGCGACAGCAGAGATGTATTAGGTCGTGGAAAAGTGCGCTTCCTCTAAGCTCATGCTTCCAACAGCAGACCGGTTAGAACCGGTTGAGACCGGGTTATTCATTCTCGGTCTTTCGGCCCGCCGCGCGCCGCGTAAAATTTGGATCATGTACCCACCCAGAAACGACGCCATTGGTTGAGTCGCTGCTGGCGTCAAACGATGGAGTAGGCGGGGTTATGCATTACGGGGGTTGGGAAGGGGTGGGTGGGGTGATGTCCGTCTTCTTCTTCTTCTTCTTTTTTTCTTCTTCTTCTTGTTTTCTATTATGACGGATCGCAAGCAACTTGGTGCATACCGCCACCTACTGTACAGGCGTGTGTAGCAACATTACATCAAATTCTATTTTTTAATTTTGTATTCTGTAGATAAATAAATAATGCTTTCCTTAATCTATAAATATCCTTTATATTTCCCTATATTCCTTTAAGACTAAATTCTTGGCCTGTCCTTCCAACCATTCTTCTCAATTTCTCCCTTTCATGTTCATAAGTTTTACAGTTCATCAGCATGTGTTCTACATTTCTTTTTCTCCACATTTATTCACATTTATCATAATTTTTTCTCCCCATTAAATATAAATTGTAATTTAAATAGGTATTATTCAACCAGGCTTAGCTCCCTCCACAGGAAGTACAAGTGCTTTTGTGCCCTTTTGACCAGTGAGGTGGTGTTTCCAGTCCAGGTGAGGGTATCTGTATGTGCATCCCCAGGAATTTGGTGCTGCTGACCACCTCTACAGCTGAGCTGTTGATGAGCATTGGAGCGTGGTTAGGCCGGTTCTTCCTGAAGTTCACCATGATCTCCTTCATTTTCTCCACGTTCAGGATCAGGTTGTTATCTCTGCTCCACCAGCTGCTCCACCTCCTCTCTGTAGTCCAGGTCGTTGTCGTCTCTGATGAGGCCCACCACCGTGGTGTCGTCTGCAAACGTCATCAGGGTGAACAGCAGGGGGGAGGGGTATTGAAGCCCAGCTGTTATGATGCTAAAGGACCATTCTTTAACCGTTCACATACAAGATAACGTTCAACAAAGGCTGATCGCAATATGAATGACTCTGTGACACTAAACCGAAACCTTAAAACTTTAAAACGTTAAACAAAAGGCGCTGTGTGGTCTGCTAGCTTGCAGAGGGGTGGATTGAAGCGCAGCTGTTCCAGTTGGCCTATCAGATGCTGTGGGATGATGGTGTTGGAGGGTTGGAAATTTGCAGGCTAAATAGCACTGGATCGCTGTTTCTAGGAAACCCAAACACTATAAGCAAGTTAGGTTTTGTACTTTCCATTGATTCAAACCTTAAAAATATTAACATAATGCCATAAAAAGTGATAGTAAAGTCATAACTGGACATTTTAGCTTTCTAACCTAAGCTAATTTAAAAAAAAAAAAGTAATCTGCAGCCCTATTACAAACCATACTGCTCCAAGGATTATGGTGGGTAGGGTCCCCAAAATTATTCTTAAATAAAAGTATTTTTACACAATGGCAGCCCACTTCCCTGCAACTCCCAGCAGAATCCCCTCCAACTTCCCGCCACTGGAGTGACCCCCACTTGCATATTTTTTTACTCTGACTCCCGCCTTTGACTGAATTACAGGGTCTGACCAGGAGATAACGCTTCTCTATAGATCTTAATTTCCACAAATCATGACAGAATATTTTAGTACAAATATCGATGTTTAAAGTCGTGGGGAAGCGGCTGTTCCAACCTTTGTATTTCCGGCGTTTGACCACGAAGGGCCATTTTGAATGGCTGCTACTGTAGCTTGCCTTTGCTCATCAAGTATATAAAATACAGATTATATATGGTTATAACATACATCCAGTATTGTTTATTTTATATAAATAACCAAAAAATATTACAAATGACAATTATCCATCTAAAACTGAGATCACTGAACAGCAAATGAGATAGTCAGCAGTAATCAGCAAATTCATTGTTTATTTATTGTTCTCCCAGTTCACAAACAACTGAACAATTACTATTTAAAATGACAACTATAACCAAGCTATGAAATAAAAAGGTTTGTCTTTGCCTCATATTCGGCAGCTGGCTGTTGTTAGTTTGCTGATTCCTGCTCCTTAACATCAACATCGTGCTCGCTGTCTTCTGAGAAGTTCTCATGGTCGTCTGAGTAGTCGTAGTTCTCGTCCAACGAGTGTGGATCGTCTCCATGGCAATCCTGGTCTGTGAGCTGAGCGCTGACATCTTCCCCCTGGAGGCGGGTCTGTGAGGCCTTATCGCTCTCCTCTTCATTCTCACTGGCATCATTAGTGTCTTCATCATCCAGGTAGACCTGTTTGTATTTTACCGTTTCATAGTCTGCATCCTCCTGGTCGCTGATAAACAACAAAAACAAACAGGAAAATTATTCATTGGTCTCTTTTAACCAACCTACAGTAAATCTGCCATAGATTTACCTCTGATTCTTCTCTCTAGATGTGGAGATTTTGCACTCGGATGCTGATTTTGCTGCCTTGTCCCTAATAAAGGCCTCAGTCACATCACATCCTTGCAGGGTTTGGATGTAATGCTTCTCTGCTGCTTGTCTGGCGTTCCTCTGTTGCACAGATTAGGAAAGAAGTGTTTATTGAAGTATTAGAGCAGTATTGTTTAATGCAGTATTTATAGAATCACTTCCTGTTATGGTTCTTCCCATTTGTTGTGACTCTGAGTTTTCAGTTTTCTGTTATCAGTTGTTTTGTTTTTTATTTTCCATCATATTCAATCATTCTTTAGTTACTCTCTGTTGCCCCCTTG